ACGACTCACCTTTGCCACACTGCTGGAAATACCGTATGCGAAAACCTATAAAAAAGTGCTTTTGGATTCAAAAAAACTATGTCGGCAAAAAATGCCGCCTGCTCTATGAGGAAATGCCCACTGTGGTGTAATACTTTTCTTTTGTTGACGTTATTCTTTCAGATAGCTTCAATATGGTAAAGGTGGTTTCCTTGAGCATGTTTTACTTTTCTGTGCATCCCTGCTTTTGTCTTCTGGAGGTAATAGAAGCTAATTTACTACCTACGCTTTTGAGAATTACTTTTATGTGATCAAACGTCGTCTTCTTCTTTTTTAATATATATTCCATTAAACTTCTTCAGACAAGTGGCTACGTATATTTATTTTTATATAATATATAGTTATTTATATACATACATATATATATATATATATATATATAAAATTCTGGTAGGGGACTAAAATAGAAAACTGCTTATTATTCACAGCAGTATGTCCTTCAGAATTATGTTTGGAGTTTTGATAGAGTATTTTTTATGTAACATGACGACTAACACTCGTATTGGTACGATACAGAATGCAGCTCTCAGCTTCAATTATACGAATTTTACATGGCTCAATGGTACATCGACGTCATGTATATGTCAAGCACTACGCCTTTCATTCGCATCAGATATAATAGCAATGAATACATATTCGTCTAACTTAACATGTCAATTATTTACATTTATACCTAATTCATATCAAATTATAAGCTCGAATCAATCTAAAGTTCTAGTACTAAAACCTTTTCCACCATCAATATCACCTTGTTGTCTGATAACCGATATGGAAAATATAATTGGGGAAAATAGTTATACTTCTGCATCTGTCAATTTAGCAACAAATATTATGATGGATAACAGTGGTCATATTGTTGTTGTGAATACAGATGGATACATGATAGCGATGAATCCAGATAACTTGAGTACTAACAGTTCAAAATATATCGATAGTAACGTATCGAGATATATATTTTTTAATAATTATTATTATTTTACATTAATCAACAGTATTGTAATATATAATAGTAGTAAAGTCTACGTGACAAATTTAACAACAGCTTCGAAAGCAAAAGGTATTGCTGGATTAAATAATCAAATATTTGTAACATTCTGTTTAACAAATACAGTTATTATTTATAATCAATTATCAAATGGTGCTTTAACACTGAATATGTCACTAACAACATTACAGCAGTGCCCATCTGGTATAACAAGTGTTAATCAAACAACATTATACATTGTATATTTTAATGTAACAAAAGTAGATCAGTTAATTTATAATGAAACAGGATTATGGACAATAAAACCATTTTTTACCTATAATACTACAGGTGGTGCACAAGAAATAACAAGTATCAGAACTGATTCATGTCAACGTATATGGATAGTGCCATACTATGGTTTTCTTATTTTTGACCAATTTGGTAGATTCATAGATAGTCTATCAATAAGCAATAATCCAGTAGATTTATTTTTTACAACAAATTACAGTGTATACGTAACAACAGATTATAAACTTAAACGTTATGTATCAAATATTAGTTGTTAATTCATATATTTCGAGAGTGTATATTATTCGCGTTCACAATTAAATTATTTTCGCTATGTTAGTTGTGTAATAGATGAGTGATGTGCAGCAGTACGTGACACGACATTACCGCGAACGACGTTACCGCGAACGACATTACCGCGAACGACATTACCGCGAATACAGAAAACGACATTACAGTGAACGACGTTACCGCGAAGACTCGTTTATTGGAAAAGAAGAATAAATGAGCCTGGTTTTGTACT